CAAGCATGAATCAGATCGTAAGTTCTCGGATACGTAGAGTAGCTTTCGCACCTGTCGGTTTCCAGGGACACGATTCTTAGCAACGAATGCAACACTTCAAAGGCATATAAAAAGGGGTTTACATACCAGTTGTGCAGGGTTCCTAGCAGTCCTCTGTCATATACTATCTTGAGAGTGTTGGGTCCATCTTCGGGCACTACATTCATAACCCAAACGTCTTTGTTATTCAGAGCAGCTGCAAATGAACCCAGGTTTGCTTTCATGTCCATCACATTTCGAAACGTGTCGGGCTTGAGATGCGGACTGAAAATAGTCCAATAGTGTTCGACTCTTTGTTGCCAAAGTTCCTGCAACACATGAAGATAGTTTCTTCCTGTATGCATCATATAAGGCATACATCACGCAGACATGAAAAGGTATTAAAGTCTCGTGAGAGATTACCGTGTCCTTTACGAACATATCATCGGAGTATCCTAACTCTGAAAGACGGGGTGGAGGTGTTGTCAAACGTGCAGGCCAAGGAACCAAGCCGCTCCCTTTTGCTCTATGAACTTCTGTCAGGGTCGAAAACATGAGAAGTGTCTAGTTTCAGTAAAGGGGGCAGAGGGAAAAAAGTACTCACGATTAGTGTAAGGACTGATACAAGCTTCCATTGGAACGCCCCATGCGGCATCAGGATCAACATCGGATCGGCACATTGGAGGTAGAGTACCGGGCTCTCTTTGCATATAACAGTCATTTGTCAAGGGTTTAACCCAAATAACAGTTTGATCCCTTTTTACTGCTATTTTCCAACACATCCGTTCGAAGAGGGAACTCATTGCTCGAAAAATTCTCAAATCTTCATCATCTTGTGCATATGCTTCAGGGGATGAAAAGGCAAAATAGCCTCCAGGCCTCAGTATCCTGTCTAGCTCTAGAAGAAGGATCCCATTCCTTTGAAGCCAATCGATCCTGCAACGAGAACAATGTGCAAGTTCAAAAGATCGACTTGGATAAGGAAGCCTCTTCGTCCCCAAAACACCAAGATACGCAGGGATTCCTCGCTCCAGAGCAAACTGAATCTGGTTTTGATGAGCATCATTTGGTGCTACAGACATTGTAAGAATATCATGTGATAGCAGGTATCCTCCGAAACTGGCAACTCCGCATCCCGCATCGAAAGCTGTTCGGACATTTCCCTCATTGCTCATAATGTTATTTGGAAAGTTCAACATCTGCCAGTTGAAACACATGAATATGATGATTGCAATATATCAAACAGTCGGTGCTTTTAGAGGACAAAAATCACTCACATTTGCCATTGAAGCAAGATATTTATCTGCTCCATAATAGAAGTGAGTTCCTCCACCAGGGAAAACAATCTTGTCACCCCTGACAGCCATCCATCTCTGGTCGGATTTTTCGGTTGCGAGATGAGTATGCGGTATATTCGCTTTCCATATTTTATCCCGACTTTTTGGCCACTTGATCGAGACCTGCAACAATAAAGAAACCGAAAACACTATAATACCTAAATCTGCATATGATAACAAACATAAGAACTTCACTTGAAATGCAAGAAAACTAGACTGCAACACTTCACCCTGTATCCTGGTGGAGGAGGAATCAAACAATTGTAACGTTTTTCCGGCAACGGACAATGTCTTTCGTAATGTTCCATTACAGATAAATCCAACTTCAATCTTGTTTGGTATATAAGATTCCTGTCCAGGCAAGGTATTATCTCCGAATGTCGATCATCGCAAACCTTTGAAACCAAAACAATTGTGATATCAGATACTCCATAAACTAATACAGCTGCAAAGCTGTAAACAAGTTGGCTTAATATCAAGGTCTCACTCACAGGGAAACTCTTTGGAATGAAACCATCATCGGCATCTTCTTCGATTCTAGTTGAAGAATCGGCATTAGTATCATCCTCCCCACTCCAGTATGAAGATCCGAATTTCCTCAAAGATTTACTTCCGTACTCGACAGCCGATGAACTGCGGCTTCGAGTATATGCATAGAAGCAACCGCAACAGAATACCAACACTATAATCCAAGTGATTAATCGATTCTTGGGATTCACGTCAGCTCTTACCCTTGTCATATCGTTTTCAGATCATCCAAACTAACAAATCAATAGTTCATGCAAACAGAATACCTCAAATTTTAAATATTTTTTCTTGAATCTTCTCTAGTTGCATGTCCAAAACTTGAAAAACAAAAAAGCATTACAAATTCAGAATTACTTATATATATATATATAACACAAGCCATTAATAAATTAAAAACTATTGATTCTTAATGAATGAATGCATGAAATAAGACCACATAGAGGACTAAACCATTATCCTATAACAGGGCATTGAATCCAATAGAAGCCATTAAACAAGCATTGGCAGTGCTTCATTGACATAATTAACAAACTGTTATACTTCCGGAGAATAATCTCCGGAAAATGCCAACCAGACAAAACCCTTTGTTTATCAGAGCCTCCAAGGAGTCCATATCCTGCGGACGTAGGCCTCTAACAGGCTCAATTGACCTACAAATAACTATAATTACCCTATGTCTATACCACCAACTAGAAGCACTATAAATATCAGACAAGAGGGATGGCCTCCATAAGCTGGCACACAATCTTCTTCTTATTTATGATCGTCTCTCTCTCACACAAAAACATCAGCAAACATCGTTCTTCGTCCAAATTAAAAGGGTGAATCGTCAATTACCGACGACATAAACTTATTCCCATCAACACAAACCGGTAGTATTGAAAAAAAGATTTATTATTAAGAGAAACAAATCCAGTTTCCCAGCTCAATCTTTCAAAGCTTCAATGCCTTTACAACTTAATAATAATGAACAGATGATTAATTAATAAATGACACATTTAAAACAAGGACAGAAGGTGGAGAACTTGTGCATGTTGGTGTAGTTTAGTATTCTTTAATTACCTGAAAGGAAATTTGCTAAAAGAGGAAAGAGCAAGTCTGGACAAACAAAAAAGGAAACATATATGAATATATTATATATGTTGTTTAGAGATTTTTCAGAATGCTAAAAGCTGTTTCAGTTTGTAGGAGTGTACATAAGCTAAAAAGATAAAAGAGACGGAGACAGAAAGGAAAGAGACAAAGTTAAGCGACAATGAAGATTGTCGTTCTGTTAGTTTCAGTTGCAGACGGCGATTCTTTTGGGTGGTTTTGTTAGAGATTTTGAATAATTCTTTCCCTTTTTATTTCCACTCAAAATTATGGAAAATACTGGATTTGAGCTGACGTAAATAATATTATTTTTGAAGAATTTATAAAATTTCAAACATATTTCTCTTATTAATCAACAGATAGAAGGAACAATTATCACTTTCTCTCTTTTTTTTGTTTATTTATAAAATCAACAAAATATTAAAATAAAAATTTACTTTTTATTTCATTTAAAGTATATTGGTCTTGTTGTTTTAGTCTTTTTATTAAGACAAAATTTGAGACCTAAAATATTATTAATAAATTGGATGATTATTTAATTTACCTATGGATGAGTTTAGAGCGCACATAATACATAATTTTTCGTTGGTGGATGTAATACATTATTTCAGGATAAGGTCGTCAATGGTTGGTTTTGATGGTTGTTGCTGGGATGAATTTTTAAATTTATATAAGTGTTCTAATCTTAAAAAAAATCTAAAATAATTATAAATTTTAATAAAAATATAATTTAATTATATTCCTATTACAATTTAAACTAGATAATAATAAAAGATTAATTATGGATAAATCATTATATTTTTTCATATTTATTTAATAAAAATAATTTAATTAGTGATATATATTGATATGTCACATTAAAAGTGTGTTTTGGTTTGCAACATGTATTACTTATTGTCATTTAAATGTTATTAGTGATATATATTTATATTTTTGACATGTATTACTTAGAAGGCCCAATATGACATATTAAATCCATCGTTGGTTATTACTTAGTTTAGGATGTTACACGAATGAAGTGTTGATATGTGTTCTTGGTTTCAAACATGAATTTAAAAGTTGGTTGTTAATTTTTAATCATTTGATATTGATCATTTATACATCTCTACTTACGAGATTCTCGAACTCGATATATTAAAAAATAAAAATAATTTTTTAATCATTAAAATTGTTTAGTTCATGCAAAATATTGTTAGTTACTGAGTAAAAATAATAAATATAAATTGCATAATTATAATTATAATACTTCAATTAAAATTTTATTCATATACTTTTTCGAATCATCAAAGGAAACAGAGTCATAAACTAAAATATTTTTAAAAAAAGGGAAAATATTTCATTAACAATTTTTATATTTTCAAAAAAGTATTATATTCTCAAAAATATTTTTAAAAAGGAAAAAAATATTGCATCCAGAAAGGCAGAAATGATTCTTGGTACTGTTTACTTGTCAAATCGATGAACTGTAATCTGAGCATCCCCTTGGGTCCCACCAGGTCAGATCAGGAGGAGGAACCCTCAATTATTGCAATCCCGATGCTTAAAATGGACCACATCTCGTCTAATAACAATAATACAAGTGTATATTCGTACTTCCAATTATTGTTCAATATATTATTTTGAAGAAAAAATTATATAAGATTAATAAAAAGGTTTTTTTTTCTTTAAGGTTTTGAGTTTAATAATTGATTTGTCTATGCATTGTCGATTAAGAAAAATTTAAATAAATATTTTTTAATCATTTTAAATTATTCAAAATAAATATTTATCATAATTTTATATACGATGCAAGTGAAGTTTTAGTTTGAAAATATCACTGAAAAATAAATTATATATACTTTGTTCTTACATATAATTTTTACAATGCCCAATGTTGTATACAAAATAAAAATGAACCCTAATCCTAAAAAAGAAAAAAAACTACACATGCCGATATTCTTTTATCATCCAATGTAACATGAGCTGTATATCCAAAGGCAAAGACCACACAAACATCACTAATAAACAAATGGGGTTGTTTTCTTCTTCTTTTTTACCCTAAATCATATGAAATATCATGTCTATATCTTCATAGGAAAACCATGCTATTATCAATCTCAAATCCTACATCCTCCAAGTTGGAATCGGCCACCCCATGGCCATGAACATGATGACGATCCTCCAAGCTGTTTTCTTCCATGTTCATGTCCCACAAGAACTCGTAATCATCGTCGACGACTTTCGAGCTAACTTCATAATTGCTGAAGCTATCATTATTGTTATTATTGTTCTTTAGCCGAGAGGAATGAAGTAGGGTTAACAAGCTTTGGCCATGGTGTTGATGATGTGCGGGTGTGGTGGATACAGAGCTGCTGATTTGTTGATGCCCGCCGCAAGCCATGCTTGTTTGAGTTGAGGTCTCGTACATCATGTGGGGGCTCCTTTCGGTGTTGTTTTCTGCTCCTTTGATCTTATTAAATACTCTACATAAAACCCAGTCTTCCTGTCATACAAAGACGGATCCATAAATACTTTTTAGAGTGGACATATATATATATATTAACAATAAAATTTTTTCTTAGAGGACAAACATAAATTAACGAAGTTTCAAGGTGGACACAATTAAAATGAATATCTAACATAAAAAAATCGAATTTTTCAATTACCCATCTTACATGTTCTAAAATAATTTTCATTTTTTTAATTATCTAAAATGAAAGTCACTGTACATGATATTTTTATGATATATTATCTATCTACATTTCTTTATTAAAGAATCTCAAAAGTTGACGAAAATTACTATATTAATTTCCAAGAAAAAGTGGAATAAAAGCAAAGATATCGAAAGTATCTAGCTTAGTGATATAATATGAAAATGTGACAATGCACATACATATATAGTTCCCATGAAATTACCATTTTGGCTTGAAGATAAGCCTCAAATATATTTTTTATGCATAAGAACTTGATTATGAAAACACATGGAACAAAGGCAGTGGATAGCTAGAAGATGCCCACTAGCTTTTGTTTGAGTTTCCATGGAGAAAACACGATATTTTTTGTTCACATACAAATGGCCCCAATTGTCAACCCTTCTTTCTCTCACAGTCGTTTTCGAGACAATGCATTATAAGTAGAAATATGATGACCACGGTTGAAAAAGATGAGCAGCGAGGGAGGGAAAACTGACCTTAGGGGGCATATGTGGGGTCTCGAGACGAAATTCATGCATGATCCAACCTGTTTTGATTCCATTCGGAGCTCGGTTCATATAAAATACCAGTGTTTTTCTCATCCCCACTACTTCCTGTGTTATCGGGTCGATCACCGTTCGATCTTTCCCCGTTGCCTTCCAGTACCCGGATCCCGTTGCTCGATTAGTCCGAAACCCTGTCGCGTATTTCCTGTCACGGAAGCTGAAGAAGTACCACTCGTTAACAAAGCAAAAAATTGTCTTATTATATACTTGGAATACCCTAGATAAAATTTTAAAATATTTTAAAGGGATAATTACAATTTTTTATTTTTAATATCTTTTCTTTATTGATTGATTTATATAATTATATATATTATCATGAGATCTTTGAAAGAAGCATGGATTTTCCCTTTAAAAACAAAAAGAAAACAAATTAAGAATAACCAGGCCTCAATGAACTAATTAAGTGCTAAAAGAAATTATTTAAGGAGACAGAGAAAGAGAGTGGCTTCAATTTAACTCAATATGTTAGTCCAAAACCACACTCAAAAGCTAGCTTACGTGATCTGTATGCTAGAAAAACTTTAAATGATTCAATTTGAAAGAATTTAAATGCCTAATAATCTTCTCTATTGAGTAGTAAGGAGTTAGAAGAAGGTAAAATTATTGTTTTTTTTTTAAAAAAAATTTAATTTAGGGATTTTTTTTTTGTTAACCATCGATATCTGATCTATTGATTGACTATTTCGGATTGGATTTTGAGAGCCATTATTTACGTGATCTGTATGCTAGAAAAACTTTAAATGATTCAATTTGAAAGAATTTAAATGCCTAATAATCTTCTCTATTGAGTAGTAAATAGGAGTTAGAAGAGTTCAAGGTAAAATTATTGTTTTTTTTTTAAAAAAAATTTAATTTAGGGATTTTTTTTTGTTAACCATCGATATCTGATCTATTGATTGACTATTTCGGATTGGATTTTGTAGAAGCCAATTATGGGACGATCATTCCAGATTGCTCCATTTACAAATGTCAGAATTTGAACTCCTAATCTTACTTAAATAATCTTTCTATATTATTTTTACTTATTTTAATTATATCATCTAGGGGCGGATGCATAATTTTAGGTTAGGGAAAAACTTCTAAAATTTTAGGAGATGACAGATTTATAAAATTTTAGGGGTCGAAAATATATTTTCAATAGAAAATACATAAAAATATATGATAATTTTAAATTTTCAGGGGGCGACAACCCCCTCGATCCATCCCTGATATCATCCTTTAAAATATATATTTATCAAATAATTTAATTATATTCAATATTTATTTAAAAAATACTATATATATAATTTAAAATCAACATTTAATTATTCAATCATTAAATTACCAACAATTAATTCTTCAATTTAATAAATAATGTTAAACTTGTTTCTATCAATAAAAAATAAAAAAATACACCAAAGCTACCGCATAGAGAGAAAGATAATATGTATTAAAAGTAATAATATATATATATATATATATAAGAAATAATATACCAAAAAACGAAATAATATTAAATATTAAAGCACAGAAGCAAACTTGGGTGAATAACCACCACGTAAACATGCAAATTTTAGCTTCTGTTTGATTACAACTTGTTTATGTAATTTTTACTTAAAAAAATAGCTCAAACTCCATCCACCCCCTTGTATCAACAAAGTCTAGTTTTAGACCCTATTTGAGAAGAGGAAGATATTTAGAATAATGGAAACCTGAAATCACCCACTTGTATTTGGTTTTTGAGGAATATATTTCCATCATCTTTGTTAGCCAATACTTACTCCAAATTATATATAACTTAAATCAAATCACAGGTTGTAAAATCTAGTACTTATTTGGAGTTTTCACTAACAAAGTTGGTAAGATAAATTAATTAATTACATATTTACACATGCATATCTATAAGCATACATACACTTGCATGTATATGAACTTCTCTTTCTCTCTCTTTACTATATATGTGCGTGTGTGAGAGAGAAACAGTGTGAGTATATATTCTAAGAAAACCCATGTTTTTCCCATCTCTCTCGCTTTCATTATTTTCTTTTCAAGGGAAAATTTGTTTACCTGTTTGCTGTTTCTAATTAATTCTAACAGCTAACATGGCAGAGGGCAAAGCATGTTTTCCAGTGCCTTGAACCAGGGTCCAGAGATCAAAGACGACTCAATAATTGTCTTCCTTTCTCTGTCTTTCAGACATGCTAAAGCACACCAACAACATCACCTTACTAGTTTGCCTCAGGCAATGATTGATGTTTGTTGACGGTAATAAGTTTATTTGGCTGTTGATGATTCATCTCTTCTAATTTATTTCATCTTTTTTTTGACTATCATCTTCTCTCTTATATCTTCATATCTCCCACAGATAAACACCAGCTAACGACTGTTATTCATCGATCACGACTCTCCATCCAAATTAGAAGAGATAAATCACCAACGACAAAAAAGACAAACTTATTCCATCGACCATGATTTCTTTAGCTTTGATGGGAGTATAGGGGAGAATTACAATTTAGAAGGAATAAGATTCCAAAGCAAAAGCCATAAATAAAGGAGAGAGAGAGAGCGTATACCAGGAAGCTGCCATGGCTCACATGTATGCAAATCAATTTCCACCAAAGTACCCTTCAAGACCTCCTCATTTGCAATCTTTTTGTAGAGATAATGGCACACTAATTCCTCATCACTTGGGTAAAACTTAAAGCCAGGAGGCAGTGTAGCTCCAATGTCCCTTAGCCCCATTTTTTTTATGTTGTTAACAAGGGAAAGGTAGGAGAAATTGGAGAAGAAAATCTTTGATTAATTTAAGGTAGGGGTTGAATGCAAAAGAAGGTATGGGATGATTTTCTAGAAAATATTATATGGAAGGGGAAGGCTGTATTGGGTATATAAATATATATAGCCATTATAGTTTAGGATATGACAAATGACAATGAAGTGCCTTTGCCAACTAGAATTTCTTACAATATTCTATCATGTAAAGTGGCCATGCTTGTGTAACTATAATTTGGCAAAACCAATATTACAAGAAATCTTCTTTATTTATCTGAGGTGTTTAATTAGGTTAAGAGAAACCAAATGATTTTATTTATTCATTAGAGAAACACTCCAAAACTCCCCTTTTTATTTAAATGGATTATTTGTGTAAAATAATAAATACCCAAAATCATAAAAATACTTTCTTTATTGAAAAAGGCAAGAGTGTGAGGATACATGGACGAACACAAGATTTTATATTATGAGAAGAACTTATGAAATTGCAAGGAACAAACTTATAAAATTTTAGGGGAGTCAAAAACATATAATCAATAGAAATTTAAAAAAATACCTAAAATATATGATAATTTAAAATTTTCATTAGAGTGATCATCCTCGTCACCCCTTCAATTCATTCATATATATATATATATATATGGTCATGATCCACTTGCACACTTTACACAGATTTAGGACCGTTAGATGAGTGAAAATAGATGATTGATATTAACTCATTTGTTCTTTTTTCATTGAATATCTTATTATTTCTTGTTGTTAATCTCAATCGTTTATTTTCATTCATCCAACGATTCTAAATTTATATAAAACTAAAAGATTTTTACACCGTGTAAAACTAAATTTGTGTGATTAATGGTAGTCTCTTTACTTTATCAACATTTTCTTCATCATACATCTTTTACTTTAGTTTTCAAGACAACTCTAGTTTGTGTGCCCTATAAGTTTCATTCATCTTGCTTTTGCATTTTTACCCTTTATATTCTATATGTACTGCTCAGCAAATAGCTGCTATTCATTGGGCCACTTGAGTCCAAACAAGAGGAAATGAAAAGAAGGGAGAGATTTTGCAGAATAATTATTGGATGAAAATAAAACACGTAATATAAGAAATCGAATATTCGCCAGTACTTTTAATCAATTGATTAATATTAAAATAACAAAGGGCTGGATTTCACGGGATACAACATATGAATATATTGAAGAAACTGCAAAATATATACTCCTTCAGTTTTATTAATGTGATTATGTATGGACTTTCGATGGTAAAACTTTTTAATATATATTTTTTTATTTTTAAAATGTATTATTCGTAGTATTTTAAAAACTTGTAATCTAACGGAATAGCCAAAGGTGTAATTTTACTATTTAAGAAAATTAAAGCCGAATCCCATTCAATTTTTTATTGAAAAAATAGGATAAAAATGGATTTGGCACGCATTTCTTCCCATCTTCTTTTTCTTGAAAAGAATATAGCATTTGGTAGAAGAAAGGATCAAGCTTGGTGAATTTAATCCATCATGAACTCGTGAGAAATGTAAATTCACCCTCATCATTTCAAGAAGTTAATGAAATGCTCAACATTCCTTCATGAGAGTGTTATAAAACTAGTTGGGGTTTAAGAAGGGTTTACAGAGGAAAGAGCTCAATCAATGAGTTTTCTTTTTAGTTTTAAATTTGTAGTTATACTTTTCATTAATCTTTGTTTGTTATATCACTTTATTTAATCGTCGTTTGATTAGTTAAAGAAGTAGGAGAGTCCTCTAAAACGAAAGAGAAGAAGAAAGTTTGAAGAAGTGATTAAGAGACTTTCTTTTTGTGTTTTGCCTAAATGTGCTACGCGACTAACTTTGAAATATTTCATCAAATTCATAAATGTGATGTTTGTATATCAAATATAGATTTTTAGATTGTTTTTTATTGATAAACATGTTATGATGATTTTGGTGGCAAATTACGTTAGACGCTCACAAAAATAATATCATTTGATGTGATAATGATGCCATGAACTTTAGAAATCATATAGGGCCTCAAATATGGTGTTTAGAATCTTTTTTTGAATGAAATGCTAGAGACAAAAATGTATATTTTGAGGTTTGATACCGATACCGATATGAAATTTTACTGAAAATCAAGGTAAATTCTAAAGGTAGTATTTATACTCATTTTTAGAGTAATGATATTGTTAATCTAATATTGATACTCCCAAATTGATATATATATCGCAGTAGTTGGTAAAAATTCAATGTGTCAATTTGGTACCGATATTTTCCTATTGATACCTATTTGGTATCGATATTTTCCTATTGATACCTATATGTAAAAGCTCAGTAAATGATCTTGAAATGCCCTAATTGATTTGTAAATGTTGCTTAAACCTTAAAAATATGATGGGGTACGAAAAAGGATTAAATTTCTAAAAATCATATTGCACCTAAAGATAAATGTAATGTCACGAACATGGTCTAGTTAAAAATCGAATCAATGATGTTATTTCTGTTTATCAGAAATGAAATTGTTAACTTTTAACCTAATTCGAATACTAGATAATTAATCAATCAAGTTATGATTTTAGGGACTAAATTGCAATCACAGTTTTAGTTATACACATCAGTAACTAAATCATGCAATTCAACACATTCGAGGATATCGTAATCATCATCAGCAATCAAGGATTAAATTGAAAAATCTTAAACATTCATCACCGATGATATCGATACTACCTTAGAATAATATTGATATTATATAAACAATATCGATACTGAATTATTTTACCAACTTCAAAGCTCAACTTGGTATCAATACCTTGACCCAATATCGACACTGAATTATTTTTTTTCAATTTCGAAGCTCAATTTAATACCAATATTAGACTGAACCATTGATCGAACCAGACCGTTGCGTTTTACATTATGTATTACTTTAAGTTGTATTTATGATAGGAATGTTCTAGAATTAAAGGGCTTAAACATTGGTTTTATGTTATGAAGACAATCACATATATTTGTACTGCTTCACAACATATCAGGACTATTCTTATTTAGTGTAGCTCAACTTCGCATGTTCGAGCCGAGTTGTATATTTTAAATTCGTGGTTACTTCGATGACTAATGCGTTCTTCACAATTCGAACTTATAACCAAAATCTTAAGAGCGACAACTATCATAAGTATGATGGAATATGTTTAATAAGCAGATTAGTTTTCATAATTTTGTAGTAATAAAACCTAAAAGATCATAAATTTATAAAGATAAGGCCAACTTAGGACTTAAAATTTCGATTAATTAAATTATAATCTCACACACATACTGTATATGGTTATATAAAGTTATTTAAATTAGAACTCAAATTTTGTAAACTAGACTTGACTCGAATTTTTTTAAATAAAATTTGAGTTATAAAATAAGATTTATCAACTCGACTAAATCAAAAAAATGTTAACTCGACTTGGTCGGATAGTCACTCCTACGTATAATTAATTAAATTATAGAAATACAATGTTTTGATGCATACATATGTTAAGAGCAAACATAATATTTTATGTTAAAGAATGTGACATTTAAGAAGATATCATGATGTCAAAAAAATTACATAAAAATTTTAAAAATGGGTTATAAAATTTCAAAAGATATAAAATTTAATCACTAATAATATAAAATATAAAAAAATTAAAATTTATAAAGAATGTTAATATATTTAACAACCATCAGTTAATCCGTATATATGTAAAATAATAAAATGGTGGGGGTTCGGGGGACCGTATATAGTTTGATAAATAGAAAAGGGCTCAGAAAACTTGATGTCCCCGACCACGTCAACCTTTTGATTGGTGTAACAAAGAATAGAGACAGCAAATCAGGAAGGCGAAACTAATCTAAAATAGTTGCTGCAATTTATTATTATAAGAATGATTATTTAATAATAATTGCTGCAGTTTTCTTTTTTATTTTTTTAATAAATTATTAATTTTATTCAAAATAGGAAATATCTTAAATTATAATAAATATTTACAATCATAATCGTAAATTAAATTCATAATTAGGATAATTTTCTATAATAATTAAAACAAAACTAACAACTTAAGATCACATAAGGACCATATAAGGAAAGATTAAAATCTAATCAAGAAAACTCGAACAAAGATATAATATAAACAGATCTGACCGCATCAGCAAACGAACTACAAAAGCAGATCAAGCTACTGAAAGGCCACTGATAATCTGTAAATCAAACTCGAGCAACGTGAAAAGCTAACCACGAATGCATAACGAGTATCCAAATATAATCCGATGATCTAAAGTAGGGAAAATAAACAAAATATCATATAAGAGTCATCTTGATCAGTCGTGGCGATGTCTAATCAACCCTTAGAAAAAAATAAATGAAAATAATAGTCAAACGACCGAAAAACGTGCTAAAATACAAAAGAAAAAGTGTCATACATACAAAGAAAAACGTGTCATACATGCAGACTTATTAAAATAAACAAGAAAAAAAAATAAGAGAACAATAAAAATATCGACGGTCGATAACTAATATTAAATTTAGTGTCGCAGTCGATCAATAAATACAAAAAAAAATGAACGACTTACAATTGAGAGAAAATGAAGAGAGAACATTTTGGAGATTTTATGCTATATAGTTGTTCAATTGCTGCAATTTTCGAATGGCTGATAAAGCAATTAGCCTGATGTCTTGTATTTGATACGAGGTCCACTAATCATATTTTTTTCAAAAAATAAAGAATGAACTTATCCAGTTTTTTGTAATAATATAATTAGAAAATCATATGTCATGCAATAAAATTATTAATCTATTAGGAAAATTTTACAATGTTAGACGGGTGCCGTTGAGCACCACTATTAATTTAATTTATAAAAATTTAAAATTTTAAAGGACTTAATGTATAATTATAAATTAATTAAAAATATAAAGGTAAATTATTTAAAATAAAATATTAATTACATCATTTTTCATAATTTTTTGCGTAAACTATATCATTGACCACCTAATTATTGTCTCTTTTCATTCTGACAACTATTTTTGAAATTTTGTCAATCTAGTCACCCAACTATTTAAATGCATTTAATCAA